AGTTGTCTTTACCTTTCTATTTAACTGACTCTCAACTTCAAATATGAATGTCTCTGAGACATCCACAGACTGAGATCTTTCACGCAGTAAATAGATGTAACAGTACCCAGAATGATCATCAATAAAGGTAATAAATTATTCATCACCGCTCCAAGACGGATCATCAAAAGAGACCACAGATATCTGTATGTATTAAATCAAGTAATCATGAGCTTCTTGTGGCTGAGTGTACTGATACATGTCTGACTTGCTTTACCTTTATGCAATCGACACATGCATCATTCTAGTCATTAAAATCCAATTGAGACAAAATTCCAACTTTAATAAGTCTCAATATCCTTTATTTGGATATATGACAAAGCCTTTTATGTCACAAGTCAGCTAAAGATTCTTTTGGTGCACTTCTTTTTACAGAAACCTCACTCATAACATTAAACAAGGAATTAACAAAGTCAACATTAAGATTTAAACAGTATAGTGTATCCAACAAAACACCAGAACCGTAAAGGGTTTTGTTGATACGAACATTTGTCTCCAATCTTAAAGTAAAAACCCAATGTTTCCAACCTAGCTGTTGAAACAAGATTTCTAGAACGATTTGGAACATACAGACAATTCTCAAGATCAAGGCAAAACCTGTATCCAGCTTAATTCTGTAAGTTCCAATACCTTCAATTCTAGCTTTCATCATGTTTCCCATGAAAAAAAGACACTTTTCATTTTCCATGTGAGGTTAAAACATCAAAAAACTTGCTTAATGTTATAAACATGCGTGGTAGCACCAGTGCCTAACCACCAAGTATTAGAAAGAACCTTAACAAGATTGGATTCAAAGCATACTGAAACTGAATGTATACTTTTATTTCCATCCAAGCTTTCCTCTTCAGGCATTCAGCCTTCTTGTGCCCAGGTTTGTTACAGAATAGCATTTCTGCACTTTCTGAACATTACCTTGCACCTTCATAGGATGCTTGACCTTTTTTTTTTTTTTTTTTTTTTTTTTAAACTTGTTGCTATTACCACTGACATTAAAATTGTCACCATTATAGCGTGATATTATAGTGTTCACTGCGAACATTTATCTCACATATCAATTGCTTTGAGTAACAAACCTTTATTCAGACTATAATTTATAGACCTTAAGTTTGCATTTAAATCCGCCTTTGGGTCAAATTTAAATACAATGTCAATTTACCGACATGCATCATTCACACATACTTGAATGAGACTATTCATCAACTTTCAATTTAATATATAGGCCATCTTTGGACATGCACTACATATTAACAAAACAAGAATCATAATCTCCTAAATTGTCATTAATCACATGTCTGATCTACCTTTGGGCAACCGCTAGAACCATGTGTTAATGATCACAAATGTTTATCAATCCTTTAGTGTCATTCAAAGATGCAAAATACTTGTGTACGATAAACATTTGTAAACATAAATAATTATTTAGCTATTTCCTTGAGTGGGCCACTTTGGTGACTAACGCACTCGCCTTATGCTAATAATTTATTTATGTGAATAAACCTTAATTTATGTTGCAAACATAAACATAAATGATCATTTAGCTATTACCATGAGTGGGCCGCTTTGGCGACTAACACACTCGCCTTATGCTAATAAATCATTTATGTGAATAAACCTTAATTTATATATATGTTGTAAACATAAACATAAATGATTAATTAGCTATTACCATGAGTGGGCCGCTTTGGCGACTAACACACTCGCCTTATGCTAATAATTCATTTATAAACATATATATAAATTAATAATGAATATAACCTCCAACCATAATTGATTCCAAATGAGCCTATAATTTAAAGCAAGTCCTTAATGCTTTAAATAAACCAAACGGCTCAAATATAAACCCAAATTAAATAAGCCTAAAATTTAAAGCAAATCCATAATACTTTAAATAACCCAAATAGACTTAAATATAAACACAAATTAAATGAGCCTAAAATTTAAAGTGAGTCCATAATACTTTAAATAAACCCAAATAGGCTCAATTTAATTGTCCAAACAAAATAAACCTTAATTTATATGCCGTTCTCTTATATAACATATAATACATAATTGATATTGTCAAATCATATAACACATAAATCATATGCAATAACAAGTAATATGGGCAAACCATATATCAACAGTACGTACGTAGATAGCAACCATATATGTTTAACTTGAACAGTACGTACCAATCATTATTACAAACTAAGTAACCATATAACAATGATTCACAAACTTGAGCAGTACGTACATGATGTTAATCAAATGGGTTTCTTCTTTGTTTTCTCTTTGCCGAAAGAAAGAATTAAGAGAACAAGCAAAAGGAAATTGGTTTCAACTTACATAGCCTTAAATACATACATAGCATTGAATCACATTGTGAACATATGTATGTGCAGGACTAACAAGAATTGTATATACATGTATACATTATTCTGGCAAACACAATAAATGCAATGCATATATATGTTGTATGCACATATTCGCTCGCCAGATAAAGGGGAAGCATGGGAGGCGTGAAGACAAACATACGACTGTGATTTTGATATCGATCAATTTCAACAAATCCGACAAAACCTTATAATTAAAAATCCCAAAATATCATGAACCTTAATTTTAGTGATTAATCAATTTACAAGCAGGCTCTGATACCAAATGTTAAATAATCCTTTATGCGCTATAACTTGAATGCGGAAGCACAATTAACAATGATCGCATGTAAATCAAATCAATCAACTAAACAATGTTCATGATCATGATTTTTAATTAAATGGAAAAGATAGAACTTACTTGGCTCCATTGAAGAAGTAATCTCTAAATTAAATGAATCAAGAATATAATGCTTCACCTCTCTGATCCGTATTCCTTAATCACCTCCTGATGATACGGAGACTAGAAAACTTAGAGATTTGAAAACTGTTAAGATCCCGTGAGTTTTCCTGGGTATTTATAGATGTGATGAGAAACCCTCTTTCAAGAGGAATGGGGAACCTCCTTTAGGAATAGAAATCCCTTTAGGATTGTGACCTCCTTTTAGGAATAGAAATCCCTTTAGGATTGTGAAACCCATAACCTTATCCATTATACATCTTTTAACCCTTATAAACTTAAATTTTAACAGAATGAGAGGGAGGGAATTTCACCCAGTAATTCCGCTTTTACACATCACTAATCATCAACGTGAGTACCTTATGGAATTACAACCTTTATTATATAAATCATTGTTATGAAATAATTATTTCTAACAATATATATATATATATATATATATATATATATATATATATATATATATATTAGTAGTGGAGGGTCATCATACTTTCCATGAACCGTACCCATCTCATCATATCATAACAGTGGGGAGATAGGAACTTCACCATGTGTGAATGAACCTATCCGTGGTCAGGAATTCTCGACTAGCCTAATCAACGTCTCACCCACAAATCTCATAAGTAACATGGAAACGAGACTGCTATCTTAAGTGTGCACAGCCCCTAACTGGGATTCCAAGCCCAGCGAGTAATAGCTCAAGCCCCAAAGTGTACCCAGAACTTTTCTACCAGGCCACTTTTTATACACATAATTTCGGGAATTCTCCACCGACTTTCATTTGATCACATCATCTCATCATATCATTTCAAGTAACTGAGTTCATACGCCACCTCCAAATTAAAAAGGTTTTCTCACGCCAAGATACAATATATCACACAAGTGACATACTATGCCTAAATGTAGTTTGAGGAAATAAGGGATACGGGATATCAAGTTGAATCAAAATAATGTGGATCATATGTAATGACTCATACTCAAGGGATCCTTGTAACGTCATCTCACGAGGATACAACTCATTTCATACTAATCAACACTTAATACATGTTTGGATCACATCCAACAACCCATTTGAAACATGCTATTCGATGTACTTCACTTATGAATCAAGCTCAACACATATACATCAACAAGGTTGGTTCAAACATCAATCAAATCAATACATCACTCCTTTGTTGGTAAAATCATTTTTCGACAAGTATCACACAACACATAGTACCTTAGAACAACTCCCCGAGTCCCACAGATCAAGAAAACCCGTAAAGCCCAAGTGGCCGGACCCGCGGTAGTGTACACTGCCGAAGGGGCCCCTAGGCCGTGTGGGCTAGGCGGCGGGTCGTGCGAGACCCGCCATGAAAACTGCGGGGCTTGGGCAAAGTGGCAGACCGCAAACGGCCTGTCACCGGGCACGCAGGCCTGCCGGTAAGTCTCTCGGGACTCGCAACAGAGCCCGCGCGCCTTCGAAGAGGGGCGAGGCAATAACCTCATCTCTTCGTGTTTTCTTCTTCTTTTGGGCTTTTTGCCCACTTCCAGACCTGATGCAACACCCCAACACCACTCCACAGTAAGATAACAATAATACAACATTATTCAACACATTTCACACATCAAACTCAACAATGATATAATTTCTAAAGTTCACACATCAACAAGAAGAATACATACTCATTTTCAGACAAGGAAAAGAAAATACTTAGGGCTCGTTTGGTTTGCAGAAAATATTTTAAGGGAAGTGGAATTGAAATTCCATGGAAAAACAATTACTAGGAAGATGAATTTCATTATTTGGTTGGTGGAAAAAGAATTACTGGGAATACTGATTCTATTGTTTGGTTAGATTTGAAATTGTAAGAAATAACGAGTATAAAGACATATATGCCCTTACAAATTAATAAGAGTAATATAATTAAAAAAGAAAGTAAGGGTAAAATTGGTAATCCATATCACTTTTTCTTTCCCATCCCCCATGGAAAACAAAATCCTTGGTGCAACCAAGGATTTTGTTTTCCTCAAATTTGAGGAATTCATTTTCCAATGAAAAATGAATTCCATGAACCAAACACCGGAAAAAAACATTTTCCTCTACTTTAAAGAAAATATTTTCCATGAACCAAACATCCCCTTATAGTTTGGATGTCCATGGGTTATACCTCAAGCTTGATGCTCTCCAAAGCTTGAATCCCTCCTCTAAGCCTCAAGGATGGCTTGCTTCTCCACTTCCTAAACCCCCAAAACCAAACAACCAAAGAAATACATACAATACATCATTCGCATACACAAGAATGTATTTAGTACTACCTTATCTTAGCTGAAGAGGAGAAGAGAGATGGAGAAGAGACATAGAAGATGAAAGGAAGAGATGAAGATTCATTACCTAAGTGCTGCCTCTTGCTCACTTAGTTTATCAGGAGAAAGAAATGAAGATGGAGTGATGTGTGGAGGGATTGGGAGGCATAACAATAGAATAATAGACATTTATACTTAGGGTACAAAACCGTAGGCTATGCACATCAGTCATTCATGCCAAAGTGAGGGGTAAAGTGGGGAATTTGTGTTTTGGTCTTTGGGTTATAATTTTGGGTCAAAAGTTGGGTTAGACTATAATATAATCTAATAATTATAGTAACACGATAGGTTTATTTTGAAATCAAGTTTGGGTAAAAAACTTGGCTATCAGATTTACATGTTCCTCTTAGGTTGACTTTTTGGTTGGCCTTTGAATAGAAGAATATATTTTTTTCCCAAATCGAATTTTGGAAATAAGTATATATAAATAGGATTTTGTATTAAATCATTTCGTATAAATAATTTTGACTAATTAATTTATACATACTAGTCACTAGTCAAAAATTTTAGGGAATAAAACGTAATATTTTGAGAGGGATTTGACTAACTATTTTATGAAAGAGGATTAATTTGGGAGAAAAATTTTGGGTTGTTACACTCATCATCACAGGATTGACAGATCACATTGTCAAAGCAAGAATAGTTAATGGGACACAGGGACTAAAGTTCTTATCCCCCGATTGTCTCTCACTCCTTCTAATACGAGATTACCATTCAAGTTCCAACGTAAACAATTCCATTGATGCCTGCATATGCCATGACTTCAACAAAAGTCAGGGCCAAACACTAACTCAGGTTGAGTTATTACTAAAAAAAACGGTATGTAATCACGGACAATTGTACGTGACTTTCTCCTGAGTCACCCATCTTGATGGCCTAAAGATGTTAGCTCTAGACGAGGATGGAAAAGATTGTGTTGCGACTACCAATTTCGTCTACAAAGAGGTTTTCAATAATGTGTAAATACAGTCGCTGATATTATGTTTTTTTTTTCAAAATGAAAAAATTGTTATATATCTAGACAAAAATATATCATCCATACAAATGAACAAGGATACGAATTGATTACTATAACCTAGTTGCTAGAGAACGAGCACACTTGTCTAATTTATAAAAATTTTAAACAATGATATATAAAATCTCTAAAGTTACAGCACTGCATGCGTACATCTACACATTAGCTATTAATTTAAGCAATTATTTGCTCGAACTCAAGCAATGATAGCATCAACAAACATAAACGATCCAAACCATATCTTCAATTGCACTATATAATATTTGATGTTATAATTTAAATAATTGTAAAACGACCCAAATATTCTTAATATTTTATAATAAATCCATTCCGTGCATCGAACAGGTGAAAATTCTAGTAATATATAACAAAAATGTCTCCTATTTATGTCTTTTAGAAAAAGATTGGCCTTGTTTGGCCTTGTTTGACAATCAGCGGTTAGCGGTTAGCGTTAGCGGGTTGTGTTAGCGGTTAACAAATAGTGGATTAGATTAGCGGGTTTGACCAGCAGATTGTATCAACGGTTTGTAAAAAAGATGTTTGGTAAAATTAGCAGTTTAGATTAACGGTTAACATGTAAAATGACCCATAAGGACATTAGTGTATTTTTTATGGTTATTGCCTTATTGGTAATAATATTATTATAACGATTATAACTATATAAAAATTATTAATTCAAATGAAGAATACATTTGAAATTGAATAAAATAAGTGTGAGTGTATGCCACCCAATTTTAAAATGTAACTGTATGATATTAAATTTAATTAAGAATTAAATAAAGGGGGAAAATAGCTATTAAATTTAATTTTAGGAATGCAAAATTGCATTTTAGATGAATGGAATGAGGCATACAACAAGTCTGCGTATATGAAAAATAAAAAAAGAGAGAAGCAAGGGCAAAATTGAAATTTAGAAAATAAATGGAGAAAAGCTAATGCTAGACGCTGCTTCCAGTAGCGTGTCAATTTTAGCGGATTGAACAGCGATTTGCTAAGTGAAAAAATCATTAATCAAACGTCATTTTTAGCGGTTTGACTTTGTCAAACCGCTAAATATGGTCAAATCTGCTAAAAATGGCGGATAAGCTGGTAACCAAACATGACATTATGCTGTAAGGGTGTTGCTATTTGCACCACCCTTTGGTCAAAAGTGGATATAAAGTATCTTAAAATTGTAAAAAGGTGAAAACTTTCAATAATTACATAGGTGGTGTAAATAACCAAATGAAAGTTCATTTTGTTATTTGCACCACCTTGGTCAAACCTCATTTATGAGTTGTAATTAATAATTTTTTTATTTACTTAAGGGAAAATGACATTTTCTTCCCCCCTAAGTAGAGCCGTCGAAACGGTATCGCGGGGCGGGACGTGTCAAAACACACCAAAGCTCGTCCCCGTAATGGGACGGGCTAAAAAAACCGCCTCTTAGCGGGCTTGGAATGTGGTCAGCCCGCCCCGCATGCTAAAGCCCGCTGGTGGGGCGGGCCAGCCCGCCAGCCAATATTTTTTTGTAATTAGAAAAGATTTGTTGTACTGTAGGCTTGTAGTTACACTACTGTGTAAGTGTTTTAATTTAAAAAAGTGACATGCAAACTAACAACATGCATTAAATACTAAATATTAATACAAATTAAAATGACTAACAACTAATAGAAATTATCCTAACCTTCAAGTTTCTATTCAACATTAGGAATTAAAATAAAATAGTTTTATAAATACTAAACTTCTAAAACTCATAATTCGTCAACCATTATATCATTCATATCATGGTCTTCTTCTCCTTGATCTCTATCATCATTAATTTGAAAATTAGGAATTGCCAAGCATGCTACTATATATATATATTTTTAATATAGATTAGTAGGTCGCGGGCTAAACCCGCGGCCTGCCTGACCCGCCCCGCTTAGGCCCGTGACCCAGGCGGGGTGGGCTAAAAAGCCCGCCTCCTGGTGGGTGAAATAATCGAGAACCTGTCCCCTACCTACGGCGGGACGGGACGGGTCGACCCAGCGGGTAAAACTCATTTTTAACGGCTCTACCCCTAAATTATATACTTATAGCATTTTTTCCCTGAATTATTCATGTTAGCACATTAGCCCCCTCGATTATTCTAAAACTGACGATTTTCCCCTGATATATTAAATTGACATTTCTACTCTTAAAGTAAACATTTTATTTATTTTCTTCTCTACAAATTGGATCCGGAACCGTAAACCGGTGGTTTCGGATCCGGTTCGCGATTTTGAACCGTCTTTATTTTAAAATTTTATTTTTTTATTTTAAAATAGTTTAAATTCAACAATAAATATATTTTATTTTTTTCGTTTATTTTTTCTTCTCCAACAAATTATTGTTTATATGTACGGATGATTATGGTTCGGTTGGAACATTTTTTTATTGCCAATTCAAAATTTATTTATTTATTATAAATTCTATTTCTTATTTTTAAAATAATATAAATTTAATAATTATTTTATTTTATTTTATTTCATTTTTTCGGTTCTGAATCATAAGTATAAGAAAATAAAGTTGTGTTGTGCCTTCACAATTAGTTATATTTGTTCTATATTTTCTCAAACATTTTTAACCCTAAGAATCTAAGCTTCAACCCCAAGGTTCCAACCTATGACCATTTATTTGAAATGGTAATTGAAATGTCATCATATTACATGATAGTTGGTTTAATCATATTGTATATAATAATCATATAGAAACCAATTGCTGTTAAACCAAAGTAATTGTAGATTACTAGTATATATGTTCTCTAATTAAGGCGTGCATTCCTCAAAAATAGAGAAATCAAATATAATCTTGGATATAAAATCACACTCCAAAATGCCATTGGAACGTAATGGATTGTCAACTTCAATATGATTGCGAAAGTCTAAGAAATCAATAGTTTTTCCCCTTTTTAGCTAGAATGAAGTTCGGAAGAGTAATATATAACACATGTGATTGCAAATTAAAACAAACTCCATTTGGCTTTGCTTACGATTCAGAACCGAAAAAATAAAATACAATAAAATAATTATTAAATTTATATTTTTTAAAAAACTAAGAAATAAAATTTATAATAAATAAATAAATTTTGAACTTGGCAATAAAATAAAAAAAAAAATTGTTTGAACTGAACCGTGATCATCCGTACATATAAACCATAATTTGTTGGAGAAGAAAGAAATAAATGAAATATTTAGTTTTTAAAGGTAAAAATGTCTATCAAACATAAAAGGAGGAAAACATGTCAAATTAATATAACTGAGGAGGCAAATATGAATACATGAATAACTAAGAGAAAAAAAGTGCTAAAAACATATACCTAAGGGGAAAAAGTGTCATTTATAATAAATATTTGTTAAAAAAAATAATGTTTGACTAAAATTAATGAAGGTGGTGCAAATAGCAATTTTCTATTTACACCACCTATAAAATTATCACACCTATTAAATAGGTCAATAGTTATGCTGTGCAATCGAATACACTATGCGCATGGTGCATACGATGCAAAACGACGTCGTTTTGACTAAAAACGCGCGTCCCACTTAAAAAAAAAATTCAGGTTCGATTCTCGGCAATAAGATTATTGTAGATATATAGTTATGAATTTCTGGATATATATATAGTTATGAATTTATGGATATTTAGTTCATTTATTGTGAATATTTAGTTCATTCATTGTAGATATTTACTTCATTCATTCACTGTGGATATATAGTTATGAATTTATAGATATATAGTTATGAATTTCTGGATATATAGTTATGAATTTCTGGATATATAGTTATGACTTTATGGGTATTTAGTTCATTCATTGTGGATATTTAGTTCAATCATTGTGGATATTTAGTTCATTCATTGTGGATTTTTACTTCATTCATTCACTATGGATATATAGTTATGAATTTGTGGATATATAGTTATGAATTTATGGATATATAGTTATGAATTTATGGATATATAAAAATACTATTGCCAGGAATCGAACCTGATTTCTTTTTTAAATGGGACACGCGTCTTTTAACCAAAACGACGTCGTTTTGCATCGTATGCACTATGCGCATGGTGCATTCGGTTGCACAGCATAATTTGCGTAAATAGATGGTGTAAATAACATTTAGGGTGGTGCAAATAGAATTCTCCATGCTGTAAATATATATAACATCATCCTTTCTATAAATAATAATATTACTACACTTTTGATGAATTCAAGGGAATATCTTCAAGAACACGTAAAGTCGTAGCATTTGAGACCATAAAGACTCTACAGTCACAGAATATTTTTGGGCTTTTTGCTACTCCATCAACGTCGTCAATTACAGTTCAATTTTAATTCCCCCAACGTCGTCGTCCTTTAAATGCTGGCCAGACGTTAACCTAAATAATGCTCTTACAAAACCCAATCCGATAAACCAAAAAAAAACAAAAAACAAAAAACAAAAAACCAACCCAATCCGATAAACCACCAAAAAAAAAAAATAAAATAAAAAATAACCGTACATGCTTAACTCACTGGTTCAATAGTCCGTATTTGGAGAAGATAGACCGGTGATGAGCATCAATTATTGATCAGTGAGAGTTCACTAATTAACTAATCATGTATATAGTTCATAAATGAAAGTAATTTTGCTTTTGATTATTTTTTATAGTCAGTATTTGGGGAAGATAGACCAACGGGTGATGAACATCAATTATTGATCAGTGAGAGTTCACTAATTAACTAATCACGTATATAGTTCATAAATGAAAGTAATTTTGCTTTTGATTATTTTTTATAGTCAGTATTTGGAGAAGATATATCAACTAGTGATGAGCATCAATTATTGATCAGTGAGGGTTCACTACTTAACTAATAACATATATAGTTCATAAATGAAAGTAATTTTGGTTTTGATTATTTTTTTTAGACTATAATACTACAGAGTGGACACAATGATGACTACAGCAAGCTACTCCATACCCAAAGTGAAGGAGCAAACCCTTAACCTTTGGTTCAGGATGAATAAGTCCATTTTCACTCAACCACACCTATCAAGTTATATTTACTACTTGATGCATTAATGCATTGTTATTGTATTAGGTATTATTTTAATTATTGCTTGAACTCTTTATTAACTGAGGGTGGCTGGTTGACGAATTTACATTAGTTAATGATTTCTTTTAGATTTTAATTTAATGCCACATCTGCTATCAAATATTATATAATGATCTTAACAGGAAAAAATAACATTTTTCATAATATGATATTTTAATTGTGTCGTTGATTTTTAACTATTAATTTACTTTTGGTGTTTAGAATATTTCAAGTTAATCAATTCAGTTTTTTTTTTCTTTTTTTTTTTGAAAGCAAATATCGATGGCATTAATTAACCCAATAGGGTAGAAATAAAGTCATGTGGGATAGAGTCCCAGTACAACAAAGTTGCTTGAGCAGATGCTATAGAAGCTAAAGTATGTATTACAAAATTTAACTGTCTAGAAACCAATGATAACGAAGATGAATTAAATAAAGACATTAAACGAAGACAGTCGTCAATAACTATGCCAACATAGGATCTAGGGCGTGGTGCTGCAGTAGAAATATAACGCTGAAGGGTCGAGCAATTAGTGTAGTGTATGACAACCTCAGAAACCTCGCGATCCTTTAACCAGGATAGGGCCTCCTTACATGCTAAAGACTCGGCTCGTGCAATACGGTAGTCGACCGTTCGAAGCAGCCGTGAAGCTACCATCGCGCGAGAAGAGGACCATGCCATAGGACGCCGATCCCGAACCTGGTGCAAAACTAGCATCGAAGTAGCAGTGATGACTTGCTTGCACCGGGAGCTGCTGCTGTGACAGTGGAGGTGCCGGCAGTTGCTGCTGTGGCAGTGAAGAAACAGGACAACCGACAGTGGCTGATTCCCAAGCAGAGATGGCGGCAAAGGCATCTCTCCACACAGTTGACGGCTTTTGAAGGCAAGCCTCCCAAACAGCCCCGTTTCTTACTTTCCAGATATGATAAAGAACCGCAACAACCTTGCCAATAATAGAGGGTGTTAACATAGACATTGCATTCTGGAACCAATATGAAAAATCTCCCCCCCACAATAGAAAAAAATAAGAAGTTGTGATTCATGCTAAACAAGCTTGGCAAACTCACACTCCACAAGTGAGTGCATTGTATCCTCATGAAAAATAGCACACATAGGACATGAGGGGCTAATTTCTACTCTCTTATAAGGAGAGCCGTTGTTGTAGGGAGAATGCCCTTGATAGCTCTCCAAAGAAACACTCTCCATTTTGGGGGGACATTAATCTTCCATAGTGAACTCCAATTATTGAAGGCATTCGGGGCCACGGTAGCTTCCCCCATGAGATTCCTATAACCACTTTTCACCGAATAACAACCACAGGGGTCATTGAACCAGTAGCACGAATCAACATAGGATGGGCTCACAGGTACTCTCATAATACAGTTCACATTAGAAGGGGAGAAAATGTCCCTAAGGATAGCCAAATCCCATGAGTCAGTATCTTTATCAATTAATCCTGAGACTTTTGAATCATTCAAATAGGGAGGCATAATAGTACTCACCATAGGATCAGAGATATCAAGCAGCCAGGGGTGTCCCCAGATAAGAGTAGACTCACCATTACCACTCTTCTTCCTCACACCATTACAAACCAGATCATGTGCCATCATAATACTCCTTCAGCAATAACTAGGATTATTTCCCAAGGAAGCATAAAAAAAGAGGTTTTAGGGAAATACCTGGCCTTATACACACGAGCTGCTAACGACTCGGGCTTCGTAAGAAAACGTCATGCCTGCTTACCCAACATAGCCAAATTAAAGGTCTTAAGATCCTTAAAACCCAAGCCCCCAAAGGACTTTGGCTTATACAAACGATCCCAAACAATCCAATGAATTCCACCCCCATAGGCGCCACTTTTGCTCCACCAATAGCGGTTCATAGCCCTCTCAATTGCTACACATAAGGAATCAGTTAATAAAAAAACACTCATTGAAAAGTTAGGCATAGCCTGAGCCACACTTTTCAACATGATTTCTTTGCCAGCCTGAGACAATAACTTCTTGTTCCACGACCCAATCCTCTGCTTAATTTTCTCCTCAATATAAGCAAAGACTAACTTCTTATTTCTCCCAATAAAAGATGGGAGTCCCAGATATTTCCCGAAATCAGGCGCCAGGTTAACACCCAATAAATTCACCACATCCTCCATATCTTCCTCCCTAGTATTTTTACTAAAGCAAACACTGGACTTATGATAATTAACAGACTGACCTGAGAGGCGCTCATAAGTCTGCAGGCACTGCTTGATTACACCAGCCTCCTGCATATTCACCTTAAAAAGTAGTATACTATCATCAGGAAAAGCATATAGAAGATAGCTAGTGTTCCCCTAGCCACCCTACAACCATGAATAGACCCCTGAGCCTGAGCCTGCTGCAGTAAAAGAGATAACCCCTCTGCACAGATAATAAACAAATACGGGGAAAGAGGATCCCCTTGTCTAAGACCCCTAGATAGGACCACTTTACCGCCCCTAATTCCATTAACAACAATGTTATACGAGACAGTCGTGACACACAACATAATCAAATCAACCCATCTTACATTGAAACCCAAAGCCAAGAGCATCCCCCGTAGGAATGACCACTCCATCTTATCATAAGCTTTGGCCATGTCCAACTTTAAAGCCCCCCAACCAACGCGCCCACACTGCTTCCTGTTCAAAAAATGCCCCACCTCTGCAGCAATGAGGATATTATCTGTTATTAACCTGTCAGGAATAAACGCACTATGGGACTCCGAAATCACATATCTAGCAGGGGTTCATCCTGTTCGCAATCATCTTGACCATGATCTTATAAACCACATTACAAAGAGCAATTGGCATGAGATCTGAGACCAACTTAGGCTGATTTTTCTTCGGGATCAAAACAACATTAATTTCATTTAAACCAGTCGGGAAGGAAGCAGAATGCAAGAAATCAAGTGCAAAGGAGGAGACATCATGACCAACCACATCCTAAAAATGCTGATAGAAGCCCGGGTTCATCCCATCAGGGCCCGGGGACTTATCAGGGAACATAGAAAACATGACTGAGTTCACCTCATCCACATCAAAGGGGCGCAGGATAGTGTTATTTTGCTATTGGGAGATACGGGGCGATACAGAACTAAAGAAAGGATCAACCGCAACAGGCATACCAGTAGTCTTAAAAATATTATGAAAATAATCCAGAATCACATTATTCATGTCAGCATTCCCAACCCAATTCCCATTAGAATCTTTAATTCTAGAGAGAGAATTCTTACGCTTACGGTTAGAGGCATATCTATGAAAGAACTTGGTATTGGCATCCGCTCCCCATAGCTAATGCTGTTTTGCCCTCTGCCTCCAATAAACATCTTCCTGTGTTTCCAACTGTCTCAACTGAGCCTCCAGGTCATTGAATTCGGCAAAAGAAGCCGGGTCGGTGCGGCCACGCAGCTGCAAAAGCTTAGAATTTAACAACTTAATCTGGCGGCCAAACATATGAATCCTGTCCCCTCCCCAACTGCGAAGCCGATCACCACAAAACTTTGAACTGTTAATTAGCCCCACACCACCTCCATCCTCCCAAGCCTTCTCTACCACCCCACGGCAACCATCATCTAGTAGCAAGGCCATCTCAAACCTGAAACCCCATGAACCACTACAACTCCCCTCCCCAAAGCTTGAGATCCCAATGAAAAGAGCCGAATGATCCGAAGTACGGGTCAACAGGTTAACCACCCTAGCTCCCTCCAATAAATTACACCACTCAGCAGTTGCCACCACCCTATCCAACCTCTCCTCCACCCAAGCCTCTGTACCACTACCCCTCTCCCATGTGTACGGGTACCCCTCCGTAGGTAACTGCACAAGACTACTGTCATCCAAGGCCTCCCCAAAACGGCGAAAGAGGTTCTCTGGATGGGCCACACGCCCCTGTTTCTCAGACTGGTAAAGGAGATCACTAAAATCCCCAATCACATTCTATAGCAAGGGGGAACGGGACGCCAAAAATCTTAGCAATTCCCATGACTCTCTTCATCTACTGCGTTTCGAGAACCCATAAAAACACGTCATGCGCCAAGGAGCCAAACCAGACATAGAGACCTCCACGTCCACATGATTCTTTGACAAACTAAGCAACCTGGCAGTATTATTCTTCCTCCATAATAGCGCTAAACCACCACTCAACCCAACACTATCCACGTAGAACAGACCCTTGAAACCAAGCTTAATGCGCAATCGTTCTGCATGGTCACGCTTAACCTTAATCTCCATTAAGAACACAAAACACAGCTTCTTACAGGACACATGTCCACCAATTCACGAACTGTCCGTGGATTGCCCAAGCCACGGCAGTTCCAGCTCAGCGTACTCATTGGGATGGGCGGGCCTGGGAACCAGAACCCGCCTGCTGCAACTTTTTTAAACAATCAGTCCTAGCAACATCCATACTCCTCCCACCAGGGCCCCCATTCCCACGCTGGCGCTTAGATAACGCCACCACACCACCCTCCGACCCCATGCTATGCTGACTCACACTTCTCCATCATCATCACTATCTGCCATATCCAGCATAACCACATCACCCGTCGACTGGACTGCACGGGACCCAAGGATGGTAACAGCCACGGGTCACCAGCGGCTCTCGGCCCCCTCACCTGACCTGCTCGCATCCAAGGACCATAAGGGTATAACTCGTGTGGTAGATCAGAGTCACGAGCTTGGAGATAGAACTTCTCAGAATGACCGAGGAAACCGCAGAAAAAATAGAAGGTGCGCAAACGCTCATACTTCGGGTTCACCCACCCCCCAGTTTTGTCTCACTTGATAAACTTCATGCGTTTCTTCAGAGGCCTGGACACCGGGACGGACACCCAAACATGGTAGAAAGCTTTCAGAGGTCCGCCCAGATGCCTATCATCTACCTTGATATAGGTCCCAACGAAGTTCCCCACCTGTTCCAAAACAACATCTGTCGTGTAGCCAATGGGTAAGTCATACACCTGTACCCACATATCGATAGCCCCGGGCAGCTGTCCGTCTCGCAACTCCCTACAGAGAAGGGTATTGTTTTCGAACGACCATGGCCCTCCTCCAATACCCGCTGCATGTCTGTCTTATGACAAAAAAAAACCGGAAAAGATTCGGCTGAAGCTTAGAAATCACCACTCCTTTCACTGGCTTCCAGACCGAAGCCATCACATGCCTCATGAACTCAACCTTAATCAGCCTCTAGGTTAGGAAGCGACCGATAACAGTCCAAGTAGCCAAACGCGCCTCCGTTGCAGTCGTGGCTGCCGTGACCGCTTCCACACCCACCTCCTCATCCTCTAGGACCATGTCTGCCCAACGCATGGATAAGCCATCCACGCCCTCCGTGCTTCACGATCCCATGCCGTACCGAACTAAAGAGAACAACGTAACCCTAGTTCGCATGTCTGAAGCAGTACGACAGTAGCTGGCGTGACACACTAACGAGAGCACCAGCGGAGATCAGAATTGATCGACCGATCCAGGAATAAGAAATTGCGTGGAGAAAAAGATCAAGAACGATAGGAAAACCCTAAACACATAGGGAGGGTAAGGAGAGAAATCCTAGCTAGAGGGAGAGAGCTGTTGACGATGACATTATAATAGCTCAAAAGTGATTGATTGTGAATTGATTCATTTTTAAAAAATAATCAATTTAATTAATTAATGTGAAAAATACAATTAAAGTGAAAAAAAGTCTCATATGGAAAAAGTTGAAATTTTGCAAAAGTGGGGGTTTTCACATTCAAATAATCAAAGTGAAAAATACAATTAAAATTGAATACCATAACACTAATGGCCCGTTTGGTTCACGGAATAAATTTGGAAGGAATAGAAATGCTATTCCATAGGGAATAGAACAGGTAAGGTATATAATATGAATTGTGTAATTTTGTTATTATTATTATTATTATTATTATTATTATTATTATTATTATTATTATTATTATTATTATTATTATTATTATTGTTATTATTATTATTGTTATTACTATTATTGTTATTACGATTACAGCACGTTTGGTTCACGAAATGAATTTTGAGGTAATAGGAATGCTATTCCATAAAGAATGGAATAGGCAAGGAATAGAATAGGAATTGTATTCTATTGTTTGGTTCGTGGAAGGAATAGACTTTAGGAATTATATTACAGTGTTTGGTTGATTTAAGGAATAGAAATGAAATATGTTTTAAAAGACATAAATACCCTTATAAAAATATGTGATGGTGGCGATGGTGACGGTGGTGGTGGTGGTGGTGGTGCTGGGGTGGTAGTGGTGGTGGTGGCGGTGGCAGTGGTGGGGCGACGGTGGTGGTGTTAACGGTGACGGTTGTGGCAGTGGTGGTGGGGGCAGCGACGGTTGTGGCGGTGGTGGTGGTGGTGGTGGCGGTGGTGCTGCTGGGTGGTGGTTCTGGTGGCGGTGGTGGTGGTGGTGGCGGCGGCGGCGGCGATGGTGGTGGCGGTGGTGGTGGTGGTGATGGAGGTGGTGGCGGTGGCGGTGGTGGTATTAGTGGTGGCGGCGGTGTCAGTGGTGGTGGCGGCGGTGGTGGTGGGGCAGTAACGGTTGTGACGATGGTGGTGGTGGTGGTGGCGGCGGAGATGGTGGTGGTGGTGGCGGCGGTGATGGTGGTGGTGGTGGTGGCGGCGGCGGTGATGGTGGTGGTGGCGGCGGCGGTGATGGTGGTGGTGGCGGCGGCGGTGGTGAAATAGGATATATATATGATAAAAAAAAATTAGGCTAAAGAAGGAGTAAAAAAGGAAATAGATTCTAAAATCTATTCCTGAGCGTTCAGTAATAGGCTAATACCAGGGGGGGCCCTAGTAATAACTATTACCTTATTTGAGGTAATAGGCTATTACCAGGAATATTATTCCTGGTAATAGAAATGGTTACCAAACAACGGAATAGGCCTATTACCGGGAATGCTATGCCATTCCCGGCCTATTCCGTGAACCAAACGGGCCATTAGTGTTATTACTATTACTGTTATTATTATTATTATTATTATTATTATTATTATTATTATTATTATTATTATTATTATTATTATTATTATTATTATTATTATTATTATTATTATTATTATTATTATTATTATTATTATTATTATTATTATTATTATTATTATTATTATTATTATTATTATTATTATTATTATTATTACGCATCAATTAATCATCATTCCATAATCAACTAGTAATTAATATATCATCATCATCAACAGCATTATCATCATCATATCAAGTCAACTTCCTAGTAATCAACATATCACCATTATTCCTTATCAATAATATTAAAATAATGATCTATAAATTATGAAACAAAATAGTCATATAAATAATAAAATTTTTTAAACAACATTTAACAATATTCAGTAGAAGCATAACATATGTTATTTTTAACAAAATACTTAAAACAATCCAATGAAAGTTACAATGTTCATAAAATATAACTAAGAAGAAGAATGACTAATTGATAGCAAGGAATCTTATGATCCACTGTACTCTTCGATCAGGATCAAGACTAAGAAAAAAAGCTACTTTATTATGATGATTAGTGAGCTTAAACGAAACAAGGTCCATTTCATCATTTGTCAAACCATCAACCTCATTTAATGCACGTTCAAGCTTGTGAAACATATCCATATCACAATCATATTGAAGACCATCGGACAAATTCTTACCAACCTCCGACATTGTATTGCTTATTAGCTTCGCAGCATTAAGCATATTCTTAGCACATATCTCAATAGCTTCATCATGGCTCCTCTTTCTCTTACTTGAATTGCTTTTTTTTTTTTCTACCATCATTTTGTGGCTCAGGTTGTTTACTCATTAAATCAATATCATCCAAACCAGCGAATGCACTATCTTCCGTGTAAGCTCTTATACCATTATGTTCTTCAGCTTGTATTTCTTCAACTACGTCATATGCTGTCTGTGCATCTTTTCTAGTTGCACGATATTTAGAATATATTGCAGATAACTCATTATAAAACTTAAAACATCTTGTTCTAACAGGTGCAGCTTTATGACTCTATAATAAACATAAATAAATTAATTGTATGTATACATTAATAAAATCAATAATGTTGCGTCAAAAATAAATAAATAAATAAATAATATTATTGCTGCAGCTGCGACACAGCGCCGCAACAGTATATATGTAATATATATACTGCTGCGGCGCGGCGCTGTGCGGCAGCCGTAGCAGTAATATATATTTGTATTACTACTAAGGCTGCAGGACAGCGCCGCCCCGCAGCAATATATATATATATATATATATATATATATATATATATATATATATATATATATATATATAATTAAATATATAAATAATTAATTTGTAAAAAATAAAATTAAGAAAAATACCGTTGTTTGAAACATAAATTTGGCACAGAAGGAATTGCATAGGTTGATGCAGATGGCGGAAGGAATTGCTTGATTGATGCTGATGATGAAAGGAACCGTAAAGATGGATGCAGGGAAGGAATCGCAGATGTCGAAGGATTCGTAGATAGAGAACGATAGATTAAGCAAAAAGGTTAAAATTGAAAAAAACAATCTATTCCTGAGGACTCAGGAATAGGTTAATACCAGGGGGACTGGTAATAGCTATTACCTTATTTGGGGGAATGAGGCACTACTAGGAAATATTTTTCCTAGTCAATGTTAAGAAAATCGTTAGGCGCCTGGTGACCGCCTAGGAGGTCAGTCGCCTAGCGCCTAGGCGCGATTTTTACAACACTGTTCCTGGTAATAGAAATGGTTACCAAACAAAGGAATATGTCCATTACTAGGAATGTCCCATTCCCGACCTATTTTATGCACGCGCCATAAATAGATTAACTCATTCAATTCCCAGTAGCTACCTATACACTAGTCCCTAGTCTTTCCAAACTCATTCTTTGGGCCATAGTATTTATTAGCTATTTAATATTTGGGTTGTCGTCATTATGGGCCAGTGTCTCATACTTTGTACGGATACATTTTCAGCCTAGCGCCCTAAGTAATAAGGCTATCACTTTTATACCCCCGCTCTGTATTTTCATACCCGATTTATGATGGACCCGATCTCGACAAAACCATTAATATATATATATATATATATATATATATATATATATATATATATATATATATATATATAAATTTTCAATATATCACTATCACGTACAAACAATACATATAGGCAATAAAAGACAACAAAATAATTAGACGATTTTTACAAATTTCC